ATTTCCTCGGGCGTATAGATGTACAATTCAAGCATTTTGTTTAACCCCACAATCATTCCGAAAAGGCCTTCGTGGACCCAAGTGGAAGGCTTATATACGTTTTAATCTGCAATGTCAACTTTGATTATGTCCAGGGACCAGCGGGGAACCCCCCAAAGTTGGAAGGAGATCTCTGTTGCGAGGTAACCAAAAATTCAATCCAAAGAGGAAAGAGGCGTTGAAGTAATAACGAAGCATCTTCGCATTCCCATTATTGGTATGTGCTACTACGGGACCAGAGAAGACATGACAGCAGTAAATAAATAGAAAAGATACACACCTAGAGCGGGGGCAGAGAGATAAGAACGGTCGATTCTTTATACACAAACATCGAGCTACCTAAATCGCTATGGAAGGCCTGTCAAACCGGGCACCAGGTTGGTGACTATCTTAATAGATTTAAAAAAAGCTATATGACTTGTTTGAAATCCACTAAGAATCATCTAGTAGTTGATTGGGGCTAAATTGATACGCCTTGTCTGCTGTTCAAGAAACAAGCTACATGTGCACTATTTTCACAATGAGCTATATTAATTCCACGAAAAAATGCAAGAGTACACTTTCCAGTAACAATAGTCACCCCTAGTTGAAAAATTCAAGCATTAAGCAAAAGAAGTTGTCAAATATTCGCTTCCCTCTCCGCAACAATATGCCTTGAGACTTCAGAAGATAAGCATTTGCTACCTTGATATTATATACAGGGGTTTACTCGTCAAGGCGATCCTCAAGATCAAAAGAGGATTTTTTTTGCCTCTGTTGCTTAGTATGCTCGAAGCCTCGTTCATTCGAATAATACAGATACAGTGGTGTACTGTATACAATCCCCCCTACTTCGTTTGGTTGATGACGAGTTTTGCAACATCCACATTTTCGACTGGAACAGCCACCTCTTCTCGTACAGTCTTCAACTAGTTCTTCCTGGAGATACCAAGCAGGAAATTGTTGGAAGATAATATTAGAGCGTTTCACCGGCTCAATAGGATGTATTGGAATACTCACTTTTTGGCCGTGCCATATTCTTGCAAAATGTCCCTCAGCTCCTCGTCGTAGTGTGCTTCTTCCTGTTTATTGGTTGCGCCTTTTTCTGACAGCCGAGCCTTGATCTTTATAGCTTGTTCCCGCTGGACAATTTCTGGAAGAACCTCTTCGGTTATAGTACTTACGACGATTCGGATGTTGAAAACGAGGCTTTTGCCATATTTGAGTCGATGTCCGAGAATATTTTCACATCCTTCGAGTTTGCCGTAACTTTTTGACGGGCCTGAAGCCCGCCTCATCTTCGAACATATCGTAGACCCCCCAATATCTCATGTTGAGACTTAATTGTTAGTACCAGTGAATACAAAGAGAAAGGATGATGAGGAAAATCAGACGATCTGAATCCCATGTAGGAGCTTATGTGACAAGATGTGAACAAGGCCGCTACCCAATCAGGATTGGGCGAAACCCTAGTTGTACTTCTCAGGTATGAATGGATATTTGGGCATTTTTAGGGGGAATGTTTGAGCGCATCAAATATACATTGCATAGTCTCTTAGGAGTCCAGCTGGTCGCCCTTGACTGGCATTTACAGCAGGTATAGCTTTTACGTTTACCACAGGATGTAGAAATACAAGTTTTCCCGACAGGGAAAGAAAAGCAAAGGCTGCAGGAGAGATGGAACGGAAGTTCAGCAAACCATGGCGTTTCAATGTGACATTCCCACAGTAGTTCCAAAATTCGGAAATGGAATAAGTTGAATGGCTTCATTTTTCAAATCCCATGTTCTGACATCACTATGGTGTTTCCATGTCAATTTTCGGTTTTGTCGGACCAAGGCAATGGGACGGGAACAGTAAACGGGGAAAACAAACAACAAAGGGCTAGGGAAATAGAAGAAACAGATGGTTGAGACATGGATCAGTTGCATTTCACTCGGGGCTGAAGACGCATGTACACAGAACACCGTTGTCAAGAATAACGAATAGGGTACATGAAACCTAGGAGTTCTATATACAGACATCTCTTGGCCCATGTACAAGGACCAAAAGGAGACAGTCGCCCAGGACAAGCAGGAAATAAAGAAAACACCTCCCACCAACACCAACCCCCTACCTTTCAGCACGATACCAGTGCTCAGACGGATCACCAAGACACTCGCCAACAGTAACAGCTATAACGTAAACCCATTAGCCTCCACCCATAGCCGCTGTCAAGAAAAGAGAAAATACTTACCACTCAATCCCCTCCTCTCAATATCAGCGAGCATATTTTCTACCAAAATCTCGACCGTATACTGATGTGCATCATGCGCCAACACAATCGTCCCACCAGCATCAACCTCCCTCTTGAACTTCTCGAAACTGACCCAGTTTGTCTCAGGATTATCGTTCTCATAGTCCTTTGTATCAACACTAGCCCCGATGACATGGTATCCCAGATCAGCCATGACGCCAAGGACGACGGGCGTATGTCTGAGGAACGGGGGACGCATGTAGGTTGGAAAGAAGCCTAAAATGCGCATGAAGGCTTCTTCGAGGATTATCATCTGTTGTATGATTTCTTCGTATGGTAGAGTGTCGAGGGAGAGGTGCCTCCATCTAAATAGTTGTCTAATCAGTACCTGTTGGCGCTTGGACTGGGCTGGGAGAATGAAGAACGCATAAGTCAGTCGACGGCATAAACGCACGTGTGAGACCCGAGCTGATGCCCTTCCATCAATGTGCGCTGCACTATCTCGGTAGAGGTATCAATGTGTCCTCTGTTATGGCCGTTGAGGAAGAAGGTTGCTCTTACGCCGTGTTCGGCGAGGATATCTAGTATCTGGGGGGTGTAGATGTACGGACCATCGTCGAAAGTGAGCGCGATTGTGCCTGGAGTGGTACAGTGGGTGATGATGGCCCCGACGGGTAACTTGGAGGTGTAGAGCTGGGCGTTGTTGGTAGTCTTGGTAGTGGTGTTGGCGTTGGACATGTTCCCTGAGGGAGCGGCTTGAGATGGGGTTATAGCTGAAAGAAGGAATGGAGATATGGGGGCGAAAAAATGCATTGCGATGAGTGAATGAACCAGGGCGGAGTGTATAAGGATAGTTGGAATAACTAGTGATGTTGGGTTGGAGTGATGAGGCGAGGTTAAGATGCTAGCGAGGTATGAGACGGCAAGAATCTACTTGGCTGCTTCCTGGGATCCAAATCAGACGCACACCTCTATAATCTGAACATAAATCTGAATTGAATGTAGCTGAACGTTTTGAAACCCCCAATTCTGTGTCAGATAACATATCTCCCACACATAAATATGAATACATCAAATTAAAAAGGTATCGAAATGGCAGGATAAAACATTCAACCCGCAGCCTTCCTACAGAGAAAGGTGCGAGAAGACAGAATAATAATCCTCCGGAGCTAAAAAAAAAAGGATAACCCCGTTTAGCCCCTCCGGGTGCTCTTCTTCGCCTGGCGCCTCTGTTCCTTCTGGGCTTCACGATCAAGGAACTTGCGCTGCTCCTCGGCGCTCAGACCACGAAGGATGCGCTCTCGCTCATCTTTCTTGATCTTCTCGGCGGCAATGCGGCGCTCCTCGGCTTTCTCTTCCTCGTCGACACGGCGCAGCTTCTTGATCTCCTCTTCGCGGACGTTGCGGACCTTGCGCATAACTTCGCCACGGAAGTGGGCGGAGGCGACCAGCTTGTCGGACAAGCGCAGGAACTGGTTGAACAGAGGGACAGTAGAGGCGTAGCCGGACGCGGAGGAGGCGAGGTTAGCGGAGAGCTGAATGCGCTTCTTGGGAATGGTCTCGTCGATCCTAGAAACACAACTTTGTAAGCAAATGATCTGATCAAAGTCGAGCACTAAGGCTAATCACTTAGTGGGTCTATCGACGGGCTGGTCCGTAACGATCAAGAACTCAAAGTCATTGCCAGCCTGCTCAATGGCCTGAATCAACTCCGGTGTGAGGAGGGTATCGCTTATTTCAGCACTCTCGGTCATTACGGTGACCCACGAGGGAAGCTTGGGGTTATCCTTGGAGAAAGTAATGGAGGCGTCGTAGCGGTCGTTGCGGAACTTGCGCATGTGGCTCTTGTGAACAACAGCCCAGATGAAGCCGTCGTAAGTCGAGCTAGGCACCTTAACGGGGACAGAATCCTTAGCGAGAACAGGAACGAGGTCCTTCTCCTTGCCATCGAAAGCATACAGCAGAGCCTCGTATTTCTCAACGGGGGGCTCCCAGCTCTCAAAGAAGAAGCTGAAGACATACTCCATGACGAAGGTGATAGGATTGTATCGCTTGGGCATCTTGATGTTAACGTCTAGGAAGGCAACGTTCTGGCGGCCAGTCGCATACGCGGCGAACTCGGAGGCAGATCTCTCCTTCAGCAATGACTCGGGGTTGGCGAGCTCCACAGTGATCGCTTCGCCTTCCACGGGAGCCGGTCGGGCGATTCCATCGAATCCGACGACAGCAAACTCCTTTTGAAGAGAAGGACCGTGAGCCTGCGCCCAGTCCCTCGCCTTGCGTCGGTTTTTGCGCGTTCCCCAGAGGTGGAAGAGGACAATCACGAGAATGAAGGGCATGATCATTGCCTCCTGCTTGAAATCGCTCGGGGAAGTCCTCTCCCATACTCGGTACCAAGCCGTGTAGGGGACCGCCTTAGGGGCCAGTGTGTTGGCAGCTGGGACGATGGTCGAGTCGGCGAGGAGGGAGGCAGGCGACGGGTTGGGAGCTTCCACGAAGTCGGCAAAGTCTACCGGAGTCAGCTCAGCAATTGAGATGTGTCAAGTAACATACCATCATCGGGTTTAGGCTGGGAGCCAAACACGTTCTTGAACATGCCCGCCATGTTGGAAGTGATGTGATATGGATGGAAGGGAAAGGACTGGGAAGGAATCGAGAGATGTTCGGTTCGCCGTGCCCGGTGCGGAGCTAAGTTCCTCCCGGGTCTAGCGCTGTCTCCAGCTTTTGGACCCGCATCGGAGATATTCAGGCGATTTAAGCGATTTAAGCGATTGGAGCGATTGAGAACAACGAGAAATATAATTGAAACCCCCAAACATCCCATCTTCTCCAAGTACACTAGCCCGCTTTAAAATGAGAAATACAAAGGAAAAGGCCAATGAGTGTGGTATCATGTAAAAATGAAACCCCCAAACGAAACTCAACGCCAGCTGTACCATGACAGACCCTATTTTTGTGCAACCCCGCTCCAAAGAAATATCAATTTAGCCCAAAAAAAAGAAGAAGGAACCAAAAAAAACCGGATAGAAGAAGGAAAGGAAAGGAATGAAATCGTGACGGTCATCCTCGAGAGTTGCTCAAGTGTAGAAGATAAGTAAGCGCTCAGTGGCCGTACGCTGGGGGAGGACTGTCTTCATGCTGGCGGCTCCAGAAGCCGCTGCATGCATTTGTCATAAGCTTGTCCTCGCGCATCCGACGAGCGATTTCACCGGCGAGTCTCTCAACCAAGACGGAATCGACGCTTTCGTTGGCATTCTGGTCTTTGTTGAACGAAAGAATAGTTGCAGGCAAAGGGGGTCGCTGATTGCTAGACGGACCCGGCTCGGCCTTCTCCTGGGGATAACCACGCACAGTAGAACGAGAGGTGGCTTCCACGTCCCCCGCTTTGGTTTCACGGGTGGGCTCATGGGAGTATGGCAAGTCCCCATCCCGACGGATTGGACGGGAGAAGCTGGGTAAATGCCTTTCGGGGATGACGGGCAAGTGAGAGTCGGCTTCAGGGGAGAGAGGGGGTGTGACCGGGTCATCTGACGGCTCGTTCACAATGGGGAGAGGCGCAGAGACAATAGAGGGGGGCATAGACGACTCAGTCATGACGCTTTCACCGCTGACACTCACAGCGTCATCGGTTGTCTTAGGGCGGCGCAGATCCACAACGCGCTTCTTCCGTTTCCGCGCGTGGGCTTTGGAATGCCGTCCAGCACCTAAGCTCAAACCGTAGGTACTGGTACTAAATGAATTGCTGGACATGGAGGGGCGACTTTGCATGGAGACAGTGCTGGCGGTTTCGTGAATGGAAGACATACTTCCCATCTGAGAGTGTGTTCGCGAAAGAGTTGGGCTCGGTGGAGATATCACGGTCGAAGGGAATTCGTTGGTATCTGTTGGAGAAGTCCATGCCCGGTACACCACTTCCTGAATCGTGGGAGTGAACAAGGATAGGGTACGTTGCGAGTCTGTCAGAGCGGCCAAGCGCAGGAGGTTCTTTTGCGAAAAGAGGGAGTGAGTCTCGACTGATGAATCCAATGAGAGAGATGCGATCTCTGACTCATTCAATGCATTTCCGAGGGAGTCGACGGGATCCTGTGGCGGGCTAGCTAGAGGATCTTGGCCAGGGCCTTCGCTTCTTGACTTGGCTGTGTTGTCGGTCTCGTCATTCATTTCTTCCCCTGTGCGATATTCTGGGACCCATAACCGGAGTGAAAGTCGATGAATGATGGCTGGGAGCTCGTCCATGAATAATATCCGGAGCTGAGCTTCAATTTCTTTTTGAAGAAAGTCGCGCACGAACGGGATCGAATCGAAAGTCGAGGAAACTTTCAGTGACTCAAGCGGGTCATTACGAAACACGACTGTGATTCCTTTTTGTTTTGAGAAAACCAGTATAACGAATCCAGAAAGTTTGAAACTGGAGAGGGTGATTTGTAGAGGTATGGTGAGCGGGGTCCTAAAATCGAGACAGTGTCAGTAAACACATTTGAGACATCGAAGTCAGAGATAGAAGTGGGACTAAAGACTTACGCTGCAGCAAGAGGTACTGGCGAGCCAAAGGTTGGTCGTGTGAGGAGGAAGGTATTGAGTGGATTCGCCTGAACTCGGGTCTTCAAGGTAAGAAATGCGTCGCCAGTATAGGACATTTTGAAGATGCCTCGAAAACGATCTTCGGCCAAGTCGCCGATTTCCAAAATCTCGAGTTCGGGGGGAATGGATCCCAAGTTCAACTCGGTGACGTGAATATCGTCGACGATTATGGGGGGTTTGGGAGATTTATTCAGAGCGGCAGTGAGCAGATCTTGGGCGCGAGTATAAAAACTCGCGTCCGCCATCAAAGGCGACCAGTTGAAGTTGAACGCCATGCCCAAGCATCGAGAAGAGGATATAAAATAAGTAATTAATTTGACATTGGATGAGATGTCAAGAAGGTGTTAAAGAGGGAGAGGCGGGAGGCGGAAAATGAAAAGGAAAAAAATGGCAAAGCCCACACAACCGAGGCGCGTGCGTCCGAGTGGACTTTTCGTTCTTTTTTTTTGGTTTCAAAGTTCAAGATGGTTTCGGTTTTGGATGTATCATGTTAACAGTTCTATCTTCTTTTTTTTATCCTTTTTTTCCCTTTTTTCCCTCTTAATTTAATTATCTTGTTTTCCCTCGACTGGTGCCTTTGGGAGAACCCGTACGTCACAAATGTGACTAGCAGAACCACTTCCGGTCAGCCCCGGCTTGATGTCCACTGTGGATAGTAACAGGCCATTCACCGTTCAGGGTGATCTGGGTTGTATGAGTTTCGACTGGTCTACAGAGTACTCCGTACTCCGTATCTGATGACCATTCTGGCCCGAAATCTGGATAAAGGGATGGTGTCTCTGAACTTGTGGGTGTTCTAGTATGCATAACGTATAGCAACAGCCACGGGGGGGAGGGGCGCGGATCTTCAAAGGTCTGAATCCCACGTTCGTTTCATGTACGATGTAAGGGAAAGCCATGAAGAGAAAGTCCAGTCAACATGGCAAAAAGAAGATGAATTGCATCCCTTGCACGGAGTACAAAATCCGAAATCTGCCGAATGTACGGAGTTTATACTCAATGGTTGTAGAAGTATACACTTTCCCCTGACTTCCACGTAATTCTTGATCTGATTCAGAATCTCTCTGTCAAAATACAATCGCTTCAAGTTTCTTTTGTATACAGCAGTTCATAAGATTGATGCTAGATCTGTTTTGAAGTACATGATAGCCCGACATAAGTCCAGAGGTCAAAGGGTTTCACCGAAGCAACTCTACGCTATGCCTGATTAGGATAAACGTCAACACGATCCCTCCCCGCTGGCCCAGATCGTCTTTCTCGACCTCAATCTGCCGACCAAAACCACCCTACCCCCCCTTAAAATAGGTATTCCACACCTTATTTTAACATACAGGGTGTGTCAATCGTCCTTGACAATGTCAACCTGGTCACCGTCGCCAACTCCAAGTCACGCGACACCACTGAAGCCCAAACAACCCAAACCCAAGTCGGTAGCTCAGCGCAGAGTATACGGGAAACGAAGAGCCATCGCCGCCAGAGCTGTATTCGACCAAAGAAGCCCGGTAAAAGAGACCAGATCCAAAGCCCAACATGTTGACCCCGTGGAAAGCCTCCAAGTGAAACTAGCCCAAGTGACAATCGATGACGACTCAACCCCTCAACTAGATCATCATGCAGAGCCTCTGAATCTTAAAGGCAAGAGGCAGCAACATTTACCGAAAACTCCCTCTGATGAACTGAGTCCATCCACGATAGAGGACACTTCAAACACAACGACAACACAATCCTCCGTGAAGTCCTCCCTGGAGGAAACAAAGTCAAAATCGAAGCAATGCGAAACGATGGTAGAGGTCAAAATATGCCCAAAGGCTCCAGAAAGTCCCCCGCGGATCATATCAGACTCCCCAGCTACGACGTCGGAGTCCACAAGCAAGGATCGAGAAAAGGCAAGCACAGCTTCCGATGGAAGGAGAGCGGAAAGGAAGATGATTCCCACACCCACATGGTCCTCTGAAGTTGCCCACGACAGCAAAGCCAGCGGGTATGTCAGCCCAATTCTGAATGAGGCACTATCACCAATTGCCGCGCAGGGTATTCAGAAGTTCGACTCATGGGCTTCGAGATCAGCAAACATGTTCGATGTCGCAAAACTCGCAGAGGGATCCTACGGTGAAGTCTACAAACTTCACATGCGGGAAGAAGTTTGCAGAACAGTGGTGTCAAAATCAAAGTTGGCTAAACTGAAATCATATGGCGATGGAGTCTTCAAGATTGTGCCTCTGCGAGCAAAGAGCGGTCCCGGATCCAAAAAGTTCACTACAATTGATGAGATTGTTGCCGAGGTCAAGATGCTCAAGTATCTGGACCCGGTCCCTGGCTTTGCTCGCTTCAGAGAGATTCATGTAGTTCAAGGTCGTTTTCCAGAGTCATTCCAAGATGCATGGGATCACTATAAGAAGACCAAAGATGACTGCATGAATCCCAACCCGTCCAACAAAAAAGCTTACCCCGACACACAGCTATGGGCAATTGTTGAGATGGACGATGCGGGATGTGAACTGGAAAAGTTCCCTTGGTCGTCAATTTTCCAGATCTATGATATCTTCTGGGGGGTTGCCATGGCTTTGGCCAGGGCAGAGGAGTATGCTATGTTTGAACATCGAGATCTTCATTTAGGAAATGTTTGCATACGTTCTACGCGGGAGGATGGTTGCATGGATCCCCCCACGGAACACGATATTGCACGACATTCATCCTCCAGCGGATTTGGAATCAGCTCCCTTGAAACTACCATCATCGACTACTCTCTCTCTCGGGCAGATCTACTCCTGACCGATGACCCTGCCGGTCTCACTGAGGTCGCGTCGTCAGATCTGGACAAGAAGCAATTGTTCGATGCTATTGGCCAAGATGAAGACGAGATTATGCAACGAAACACCTACCGATAGTATGTTACCCTATGCCTCCTCATCCAATTTCTAAAAGCTACTTACTAACATTGAAAACTAGTATGCGCGCAACACTTTATACTGGTTGCCCCATGAAAACAGAAAAGGTGGCGGATATCCCTGGCATCTGGGCAGAATACTCCCCACGCACCAACTTGGTCTGGCTACTGTTTTTGCTCCAGAGTCTGTTTAAAAACTGCAAACCTGAAAAACTGCCTGTAAAGCCACAAAGAAAGGCTCTTGCATCTTGCTCGCCGAACAAGATGACACCGAAACCGGAGACAGCCAAAGGAAACCTCCAGATTAAGGCCGGGTCCCTCATCAAGAAGGGACATGCCAAAGACATACAGGTTGGTATCTCACATCTCAAGCAAACACTAAATGACAGACTGAAATCTGTCCTCGAACTTCTTGATTTGGAACATGGACATGAAGACATGTGTTGCGCTGCAGATTTAGTGGCCTATGCGATGGACTCGCAATGGCTAGGCGAACAAGATTTTTTCTAATGATCCTCTAATGCACAAAAAAGTAATGGCACACTAGGGAGTTATATGGATTTTAAAATTTGCATGGTTAGGAGTCATCTTTTGACTACACCGTGAACGTGGGGCCAGGTGTTTCAAGATCAGATGCATTGCCTTGGATAGGTCACCAGAAAATGAGGGACTTGCGTATAGAATATCCTAGTGGTCTGAGTTTTTGCATACGAAATACATGACTCTACCCTACTTCTACCTGAACGCATGGGAATGATCATGGTGTTTTTGTCGAGAAACACGCCACAGCCATCTTATACTGTCTTTCAGTTTCCGACCAAGCGACCAGGTCTATGACAGAAGAGTGTGTATTTCACTTTTTTCTATTCTAGTAGAAAGGGCCCGCTCCCAAATGCTTCCAGCCTTTTGTGTCAGGGGTAATAACCCCTAGTCGATTAGATGCATCCATACTTTATGTACTCAACTTCCCAGGGAGGACGAAACAAACAGCCCAGCCGCAACCCTGAGACAAGAGGAAAGAAAGCGCCATTGCAAAGTTTTTGACAAACGCTTTTCGGCCGCATGCTTTTCCACAGTCGAGACAACGATCTGTCTCAACCGGATGTGTAGTAAAAGGAGATTTTCATCACTTTGTTTCATAAGTTCATACACTTAGACTGCGGATCCGGCTCCAGCGCGGAAGAGCCTAACCATCAACGCAGGACGGCTCCAGAGCGAGAAGGACTTTTGGTCGGTCCAGTTCAGCGACTCAGGGAGCAGCTCCAGGTCGAAGTTCCACAAGAGCTTAGCGAGCAGGAGACGCATTTCGGCGTTCGCAAGGCTGGAAGTGAAACGTCAGCAAACACTGTCAGAGAACGGCTCAGGCGAAAATACGGATGGAGTGAGTAGGGAGTAATTGGATAGGCACTTACTGTTGACCGAGGCAGTTCCGTGGACCGTAGGAGTAGGGCTGGAAAACCTCTCTCTTGTCGTTGCTGTACTTGTCAGACTCATTCAGCCAACGCTCTGGGACGAATTCCTCGGGGTCCTTGAAATGCGAGGCTGCGTGGAAAGCGGAATACAGCGAGACAGAGACAGAGACCTGTTTGTATTGAACTGTCGTCAGCTTTGGGACCATAAATTTAGAATTGGAACTTTTTTGGTGTTAAGACAGGAATTAGCGAAGATGGAACTGTCTTTTCTAAAACGAGCTCCACGCGCTTCGCATTTGTCCACAAAACAGCACACACATTGGGACTAGACCTAGCATATTGTACTCACTTTTGCAGGGACATATTGCTCGTTGATCATTGCTCCTCCTTCAGGAACAATCCGCGGAAGCATAGAAGGAATCGGCGGGTAGACGCGCATCGCCTCGGTCAGAACGGCGTTCAGGTAAGGAGGGTCCATGAGAGTGGACAGCTTGATATCAACGTCCTTGTCGAAAGCCCCACGAATCTCCCGGATCAGGCGCTCGTACTTGTCACGAGAACGCAGAAGGTAGTATGTCACGCCAGAAAGCAGGGCAGCGGTAGTCTCACTGCCAGCCAGGACGAACACGGCCGAGTTTGCATCCATCTCCTCCTCCGACATTCCCTTTCCATCTTTGGTGTGCTTCAGGATGTACGAAGTAAAGTCGGGGCGAGTGGCACCCAAGGCGAGACGACGACGGACCTTCTCAACACTCAGGTCGAAACTGGCTTGACGTTTCTGGAGAAGGTGTTTGGGAACCAGAACGCGGACCAGGGGAACAAGAAAGGGGTAGAACCAAAACACCTTGAGATAGGCACTTGCCTTGACGGCATCCAGAATAATTCGAACCCACCAGTGGTATGTGCTGCTTGACAAGCAGCCAAATGGTTCTCCAAAAGCGAGGTCGCCAATGAGGTCGAAGGTGGTGAAGTTAAACCAGCAAGTGATGTCAATATTCTGAGACAAGGCGCTTCCCATAAGACCCTTGAGCTTTTCCATAAACATGCTAGCGTACATCTGGAGGATTTCTTCCTGCTCGCGCAGGGCTTTGTTGGAAAAAGCATGGGTCAGCAAACGGCGCATCCGGGAGTGGTCGTCCTCATTGGCTGTGATGATAGCGTTGACACCATTAGGAGTGGGTGCATACAATGCCGGATCCTTGACGAAGACTTTTTGTCCCTTCTTGCGGTGACCATAGATATCCTTCCAGGCGGGTGCGGCACGGTAAACGAGAGCATTTGGGGCGATGCGGACCACGTCTCCGTACTTGTCATGGAGACGCTTCAAAGTCGAGTGCTGCTTACCCTGGATATCCCAGATGAGGTGGACCAAAGGAGTGATGGCAGCCAGCTTGGGGCCAGGGTAACCACTCAGACGGTGGAAGCAAAGAGTGTGGATAATCCAGCCTACATAATAGACACACAGCTGTGGGGTTGGGATTGAAATGAGTATCACATTCCTTGAGTATCTAGTCTTTTATATCGGTACTCACCAAGGCAATCAATCGACTCAGCAGACTCCAGAATGAGGGGACGACTAGGATATGGCACCAGCCGCCTATCGCCAAGGAATCGAAAATCATGTCGAACAACAACTAGAGACTATTAGATACACGATCAAATACGTTTGGGGATGCTGCTCTTACCGAATGGCAACTGAAAACCCAATATTCAAAAGAGGGAGTAGTGTAAGGAAGGGAAGAAGAGAGGAGAACGATGAAGGAACTGAGGAGAAGAGGACTGGGGGTGGGCAAACGATAGATAGGATGACAGGAGACTTACAATAGGCTTGACTGGAGGACTTCAAATGGTAAGGGGCTATTTAGAGGAGATTATTCAGAGTCCCAAGTGACTGTGCGTTTTAACCCGATTGAAAACGCGAAGGAGACAGCCGGCAAACTTCGACTTAAGAGTCTCAAGTTAGGGCTCCTGCTCAAACGGAAACCAGGGGCTACATCAAAGGGCTCAATGGGTTACCTAGCCAAGAAGTACTCATGCTGGGATCAAGGAATGGAAGGATTTTTTTAGATCGTCACTCGTTGTATTCGGATTTACTAGATGAACGCAAATTATGTAGCACCGCAATCAGCCACTGGCAACAGAAAAACTCAACAAGCTCCCAGCAGCCAATCCACCAACAAGAACCAGGCTCATAAATCCACCAGCAGCCGGCCTTTCATCGGCAACAATCCAGTGACTAGCGCCCATCATACAGCTTGTCCCCAGATACCCATTAGTTGCACCAAAGAAGAACTGTACAAGGAAGTAGAAAAAATCACTCTTGACGGCAGCACCTTGGCCGTTGACGTTGCAGAGCTGGTACAGGGGAATGAAAATTACACGGCCAATGGCCACAATAGCAGCTATCTGAGGATGCTGTCCCAAGGAAACTCCTGGAATAGCCACACACATTCTCCCAGCCAAGTCACCCAGGTTCCAAAGCAAGAATGCTAATGGAACGAAGACACTGGGATCGTAGACCCGTGAACTGGCAGGGTCATTGACGGACTGGATTTCCGCCGTGTAGACTGGGAATACCATCGAAACCAAAAAGCAAGCGAATACAGCAAATGCCAGGAAGCGCAGCTTAATGAACAAAGTCCAAAGGCTGACAGTCTTGGACTGCTCACGGTCATCCGCAATCGACTCATCGTCATCTCTTGTCAACTTTTGCCTCGAAGAAGGTTGTTGTCTCAGAAGATATAGAAAGGCAAGCAGAGCTATGACAGAGACACCAGTAGACGTGAGGAAGTAAATGAATGCCGATGTCGACACACTCGTCTGAGGCATGCTAGGATCTTGATCTTGGCCTTGGTATTTACCAATGCTATCCTCCTTCGGCGGTACAGCCAGTACAGAAAAGATCTGTACAACGCAGGGTAGCACTCCGGCAACACCTTGTCCACCCATAATAGCCTGGGTATATTCCTCCCTTCCGAACCCGGAGACGTGTGCAAAGACGCCATTCTGATTGATGCCAGTGGCCAGACTCGCGGCGCACACCATCACCATCAAGAAGCCAAAGTACACCCGAGGTGAGGAATCAGTCATGGCAACTGCCGAGAGTGCTAGAATAGTGAACACAACAGAGTTCATCAATAGCGAAAACGTTATACGCCGTGGATAGGAGGCGTTCTTCTGTAGCTTTGCTAGGGCATAGGCGGCTCCAAGATTGGTGACAGTTGACATTGACTGAATCGACGGCTGGTAGTGCAGTCTTGTCCAGTCGTCCGACTTGAAGCGGCTGTAAAAGTATGGTGTCGCCGCAAGGAACATGTTCCTAGATTGTGCTCTGCGTTAATTATGGCTCAACACATATAGCTTGTTCCTCCAGGTTCGGAGACTTTTGGGTTCCACGTACCAGGCCCATAACATAGATACTCCGAGGAGGAAGAATATGCCATACTGAGATCTTGAAAAGGGGGACTGCTGGTATCGCTCTGTGTATGTTGAATCATCAGTGTCGTCCGAGGCGGAGTCCTGCAGTTGCTCATACGCCGCTGGACGGGAAATGAGTCTACGTATGCGGTCCATGGCTACTTTTTTCAGCCACTTCTTCTTAGGTATAAGTAAAAGATTCCATAAAACAAGGGGATTATCTCGTAGCAAAGAGCTGTAATGCGCTGCTGAGGTCCGCGTATGACTGATTACTAAGCAAGATATGTCGTAGGACCCGCATCGGACTGCGGGCCCCGTCGGGCGATCCACCAGTTCTCCTGTCAGGGCTCACCTTTGTCGGAAGGAAAGATTTTTTTTTAGGGGGAATAGTCCTTTTCATCATCATGTATGAAATAGCAATTAGGACGGAGTTTAATGACCGCCTCCGGGAGGCGGTCAGTATTGCCGTCGGGCCAGGACTATATGTTCTTACCCTTCATGTTTTATTAGTTGAGGAAGCGAAGAATCCATCCTAGGAGTTCAGTTTATCTCTTTCACCCTTCAGGTTGCTTCAAGTCCTTTGGATCTTCCCTTCTGTCGGAAATCAGTAAAGTGGTCCATCTGGAAGGCATCTGGCAAGGATCTCTGGAGGGGAAACTGACTCGCTGAGGGTGGGTCAGGTTTCGGCCTGACAACCTTCACCTGTCACTGCCATACCTTTGGTGTATAGAAGGCTTAATTGGAACTTACGAGATATCTCTAAAGCAAGAATACTTAGCCGCTTATGCGGCCTACGTCTTTAAAGATGTGGGCCGATAAATCAGGCCAATGAGGATAGAAGGGACGTTCTATATCAGAACACTCCGATGTGTCTTAGGACGTTCTTTCCAGGTGTCTTCTCAGATATGTACATAGACCCAGGACCTTTGCCAATGTCGGTGTGTTACTTTTGAGCGTTCACCGATTATCGCCTTTAAATCTCATCAAAGCATCTAGATATAATTTTGAGTGCCCGATTTCAGCATTTGCCTTTCTTTGTATTATGCCAGAACAGAAGTTGTGGAAAACGAAGCAGCAAAGTACAAATCGAGCAGTAGGTTTGATATCAGGATTTGTGAATAATAATTGCTGATATTAGCGTCTATCGGAAAATCCAACATGCAGAATGTGTGTAGAAGTATGAGAAGAGAGAACTGTGAGAGATGAGTTTAGATGAGGAAGCATGTATTTCAAACCCAAAAATGATAATAATGATGAACAGAGATGGTAGTGAGATGGTAGTGTAAGGATGGGATCGAGAGTGAACGAGGTAAGACTATTAGTCCTTCTTAGGCAAGGCTGTCTCCTCTACCTCTTCTACCTCGTCTCCCTCCAGCTCAGGCTCTGACTCCTCCTTATGGAACTCCCAAAGCTGGTCTACCTCAATAGGCTTGACCGGAGGTGACGTGGCTTCGCCACCACTCATTTGCCATTCCATGAGCTTTGTAAAGGCACCATCCGGGCGAGAACTGAGCTCATCATAGGAGCCTAGCTCGGCGACCTTGCCGTCGGGGCCAAGGACAATGATCGTGTCGGAGCGCTTAATGGTGGAAAGACGATGGGCAATGCTAATTGTCGTGTTGTTGCCGCGAAGCAGAGCGGCCAACGCACTGTTGACGAGAGTCTCGGATTCGGCGTCGAGGGCGGAAGTGGCTTCATCCAGAATTAGAATATCAGGCTCTTTGATAAGGGCACGTGCAATGGCAATGCGCTGCTTCTGACCACCGGACAACTGAGCTCCACGAGCTCCAACGTGAGTATCAAGTCCATCAGGCTGTATTAGGTTAGCTTGGTTCATTAAAAATAGCTGCTCGGTGGACTTACAAAGTCGCTGATGAATTGACAGTTGGCCTTGCGTGCAGCAGCAATAATCTCTGAGCGTGTTGCCCGAGGCATGCCATAGGAGATGTTCTCAGCGATTGTTCCAGAGAAGAGGACAGGTTCCTGAGAAACCACACCAATCTTTCTGCGAAGCGACTTGGCATTCATTTCCTTGATATCTTGCCCGTTGATCAAGACCCGGCCCTCAGTGGGGCTATAAAACCGGAGCAAAATGGATGCAATGGTAGATTTGCCTCCACCAGATGGTCCAACGATCGCAACGTTACTTCCTTGAGGGATCTCGAAGTTCAGTTCCCGGAAGATCTTCACAGCAGGGCGGGTGGGATAGCAGAACATAACATTCTCAAATCGAATGGGTCCACGGGCAGTTTCAACCTTGAGACCTTTGGTTGGGTGAATTGTGGGTTGACGATCTTGCAACTCAAAGAGTCGACTTGCTGCACCCACACCTTTCATCAGCTCTGAATAGAAGCTTGAGAGGCCAAACATGCTGGAGCCTGCATAAGCAGTGTACATTAGAAACGAAGTTAGTTGTCCGATGCTGATAGCTCCCGACTGCACCATCCCACCACCAACATATAACAAGGTCAAAATGGTCATATTGCCCATCAAGCCAGTCTATTAAGAAGTCAGTCAAAGCCGCAAAAAACCGCCCATGGAATCAAATCTGCCTACTCACCGAGCTGAAGAAGGTCGCGCTAATCAGAGACTCCTTTTTGCCAAGCTCGAAGATCTTGCGGACTTGCTTGTTGTACCGGTTGACTTCAATAACTTCACCGGCAAACGACTGACTAGTCTTGACATTGCCTAGACGTTCTTCCGCAATCTTAGTCAACGATCCCAAGTTCTTTTGGATTTTGCGACTGAGATTCCTGATAGCTCGACCGTAAAAGAGAGCGCCGAGGCCAATTGGAGGAAGCAATACAAGCAAGATAGTGGACAGCTTTGCACTAGTGTAGGCCATCAGACCAAATCCAGCTGCACCGCTAACAGCGGCTCGTAGACCATCAGACAGGTTCTGTGTGATACTCTTGCCAACAATTATAGTGTCGGAGCTAAGGCGCGAGATCAGATCGCCAACGCGGTTGGCATCAAAAAACTCGGCATCTTGCACAATCGTTTGACGGAAAAGCTTGGAGCGTAGCCTGGCAACAATTCGCTCACCAACAATTCGAAGAATGATGATGCGCCCATAGTTTGCACCAGCGCCGAGAAGTAGGACTCCACCGAGAGCAGTGTAAAACATAGGCATGCTCATGCCGAACAATTCGCCGCCGCCTTCTGTTATGCCTTTAGTCGCAGCGTCCATGATTTTACCAATGGAGAAAGGAACTGCCATTGTGATCGATGAGGAGACTAGGAGGAAAAAGAAGGCGAAACTAAGGGCCTTGGATTCGGGGCGCGCGATCTTCAAAAGCCGCCAGATTTCTGCGAATCCGGACTTCTTTCCCGATGCACCTTCCTTAGCCAACCTAGCGCTCAGATTGACCTGCGCCGCCTGCGCTGCTCGCTCGGACAATTCAAATCCCTTGTCCTCCAACACTTCTTCTTTCGGTTCTAGAGCTGACTGGGTAGTTGGGTGTGTGGAGGTTGCGGCTGGTTTCACCTGGAAAAGTGGAGGAGTTGAACATAAAAGGCGTGCTTGGGAGACAATGCGAGATGTAGAAGAGGTATATTTGAAGCTGTAGTTTTGAAGCAAGAGTGGGTTGGCACCATCCCGGAGTGTACCCGAGGCGGTTGAGTAGAGACGGTTCAGCCCATTGTGGTCGCCGGAGAAGAGAGATGACGATCGCGCTTTGGATATTAGATCGCGGGTAAAGGAGCTATGTGGTTTCAAAGCCTGCCGTGGGCTGACGCCCAAGGCCAGAGACATAGGCAGCCTGGCACCGCGCATCTCGGAGGTGGATCGGACAATGGTGGAAACGGAATGGGGTTACAATGATGTCACCGAATAAGTCGTCGATATGCCATATCTGAGCAGGATATTTTCAAGATGAGCACATCACATGGCACATACTCAGCTCCTTGGAACGCGCAATGGAATGAGAGTGGATGTGTCTGGAGCTTCGTCTGACGCCCACGGCCATCGGCAAAGCGGTTTTCGAGGCCGATTTTGCCATGGTCGACCGCTTGTGCTTTTGCCTTGATCTACCGCCCGTGGAAGCCAGTCGAGAGCTTTGGATACTACGTTTGTTCTGGCACCAGAAGCTTCTTTTTTTTTGGTTTCACTGGGTTGAATCACTAAAAATATATACCAATAAACTTGTCACATCACTATTCGTGTCAAGACCGCCAAAAATTTTGTCCCTCACCTATTTTCTCTGCCGCTAATACGCCCACCCCACCCCATACCTACTTTACACATTTACTGTCAGACAAGATGGTCCTCGACTACAGCAAATGGGACTCCTTGGAGCTGTCCGACGACTCGGATATCGAAGTTCATCCCAATGTCGATAAGCGCTCTTTCATCCGAGCAAAGCAGGCTCAGATTCACCAGCAACGAGAGCAGCGTCGTCACGAAATCAAAACCTTGAAGTACGAGCGCATCATCAATGAGGGACTGCTTTCGCGTATTGATAAGCTTCTCGAGTCTCTCAAGAAGCACGAAGACTCGTCTGCTTCTCCCGATGAGTTCATTTTCACGACGATTATGGAGTTCGCAAGCAAGCCCGCCGAAGACCAGGCCCCTACCCCGCCGGAGGGAGTATACACACACGAGCCAGAACAGCCAAAGTTTTCCCAGATGATGAGCTCACTGGTGGATCAGGTGAAAAAGGAAATTGGCGATTCTAAGCCTGATAACATCTTCACGGCATATATTCAGGGCGTCAACGGACACTTGGAAAAGATTCAAGGACTCCAAAAGGAATTGTTCGCGAAGCTTGCACAGCTTGAGAAGGAGGAAGGCGCCAAAATTACCAGTGATAAGCTACATGAAGGTTTCAACCAATCACATGTGTCCAAAACTACTGAGAAGGAGAAGGCGGCTATCAAAACAAAGGAGAGCTCCGTTGAGCTCCTGAACCCTGGTGCGGGAAGCTCCGCCGCCAAGGCCGATGATGAAGGCGATAATGATGACCCCGCCGATATCGAGATTAGCCCACTGGCAAAGAAGTTTGCTCAGCTCAAACCTGGAGACTACAAGGCCTATCTGAACTTCATCTCAGCGAACCCTGACATTGTCGCCGAGAAAGAGACCGACGGTCTACTTGTTGAGGCTTTCAACAGTCAGCTTAAGGGCCAAGATGACTATGCCCGCCAGTGCGTACATCAAGGTCTGCTTCTGCAATACTGCCGCTCGCTCGGTCGTGACGGTATTCAGCTGTTCTTCACTCGGTATGTCAATCCCCTACCTTTTCTTTTCAATCAATAGCTGACGTAAACTTCCAGCATCACCACCAAGGATCACCGCGCATCCACCTTGTTCCTTAATGATGTCAATGACACTTACGCTCGCATCAAAACCCGCTCCGCTGAGCTCAGCAAGGATGGCTCAGCATCGAACGACCCTGCGGGCGTGGAGCAAATTCAGCTGCACGCTGTTGATCCCAACACCAAGATCACCATCAATTTGCCCGCCGCTAACAGCGAGGACCCCACTGAGATTGAGGTGCGCAAGATTTTCGACGCTTTCCCTGAGGACCTGCAAAAGGCACTGGCAACAGAGTCATTGGACGAAGTCAACAAGGTTCTCGGCAAAATGTCCGTCGAGGAGGCGGAGGTCGTTGTGGAGCAATTGGGCAATGGCGGCATGCTCAGCTTGGAGGAAGGAATCGTGGACGCCACGACAGAAGAGGGCCAGAAGAAACTGAAGGAGCTGGAAGGAGAGGGAAAGCAGGAAGTTGGTGAGCCTGGTGGTGATATAACCGAGCTTGACTAAGGATGTGCAAAAGGCGATGGTGATTTGAATTGAGTATGCATTACCTCCTCTTGACCGGAGAACAGGTTACCAACCACTTCCATAATTGTTGTACAATCATTTTGTTACTAAGCGTTTAATAAAGACACCTGATCAGGGCCAATCAATTAGAGAAGGAAATCCGTGGTATTAACGATGGTATCGATTTGAGTAAGATACTAATTTACTAATTTACAAACCCTCCCTAGAGACTTCGCTGCGTGGAGTAAAAAAAAAAAAAAGGTAACAAGAGATGTAGCTGCCAGATCACGGTCAAGCTACCAAATATTGCGGGAAAGGGGATGTTGAAAAAGCCATATCATATGAGTAAATGTGGGGAACTTGTGAGTACCACGTCTTAGCCCCGGACTCCCGAATCTTCTATCCCCCACGCTCCAAAGCAAACCACCTAGATTCCGCTTGAGCCGGGAGCCTCCTGGTCTTTTCGGAGGTCGAGCAACAATTCGCGGAAACGCTCCTTTCCGGAGCCGCTGGCACCGCCCGCGGAGCCCTTGCCCGATACATCAACCAGCTTAGCAATGCGCTCCCAGCTTGTGCCACCGGCAGAGGTATCCTCCCGATTGGCAAGAAACTGTTCGGCCTCGGCGCGGGCGTGGGAGCGGTTCTTGTCAGCCTTGTTGTTGTAGGAAACGTAGAAGTCGTCAATATCCTCCTGTGCCTTCTTGACGGTATTGTCCTTCTTTTCGGCGGAGATCTCTGCACGGCGGGCGATCTCAGCATCACGCTTCTCGCGCCATTCACTGATTGAAAGATAGACGTCAGCTTGAGGATCCGAGCCGAAACAAGATGAATGCAGATCGCAAAGGCAATGCACACTGTCGTCCCGTCATTCACGGTTTGAGATTCTCAACTCACCGCACAGCATCTCCCTCATCCTCGGGTTCCTGGGCGCTCTGATATCCGGTGCGGGGGAAGGGTGAGCCGGAGCCAGTGATTGTGCCACCGGGAGCAACGCGCTGCATGGATGTAACCCCTGGTCAGCACACGGTGTGTTCACTACCATATATCCAATAGCCAAGTCATACCTCATTCTGGTTTTGTGTCGCAACGGAGGGGAAAGATGATTCGAATAGGCCAATCTCCTCAACGGGTTCGTCACCTCCGCCGAGCAGGTCGTCATCCCCCGCGCCTACATTCCCGCCGGCAACGTGGTCTTGAGAAGTAGCGAATTGCTCAGCATCTTCACCGAGCGCAGCACGCTCGCGGGCAAGGAAATCTTCATCGGTGGTAGCTTGTATATCGGCTACTTCGGTCTGGCCTAAATGCGGGTCAAGTTAGCTCCGGTGTAAGGGGAGTAAGTAAGGCGGGTTGACCATACCCTCAGAGAAGTCCTCTAGGGAAGGGAAACGGTCAGCCATGCTGGTTAAAGATTGCCTATGACTGTCGTACGATTCAATAAAGACGTTGGAATCAAGGAGATGGTCGTCAAAAGAGGTATTCAAGGAGCCAAAAAGTTGATAGTAGAAGGAAGTAGTGTTGACAGGTGTGGCCGGGGTGGGCTCGGAGCCCCGTTGTTCTGCCGGTTCTGGGGCGGTAAGCTTATCCATGTTCCAAGCTTGGGGTACGAACCACTTCAGCTTCACTTGTGATGAAGAAGGTTGAGAGTTGAAATCTTCGTTTGATATTACTTTGGCTTTGCTACGGTGACTCGACTTGATTGCAACTTAACTGCATTTCATAATCGTCCTAGTGGTCTTCAATTGATCCTCGTTGCCCATTTGTCCCCAACGGTGATTTAAACTTGCACTTCAGATCTGATTATTTCACTTCTCAAAAGCTTCCCGTTCAATTCGAGTGCCTACTATTGTTGTCACCATGGCTTTCACTGATGACGCTGTCAAAGCAAAGCTATCAGCTCTGAATGACTCGCAGGAGAGCATTGTCACTGTTGCGCAATGGGTTATGTTCCACAGGTGAGGATACTTGCTCCAACTTTAAAGAGACTTGCTGAATTTTCGCCTGTAACGATAGACGCCATGCTGAACGGACTGTACAAATTTGGCTACAAAAGATTCGCGACTCGCCGCCTCCTAAGCGACTCAACCTGATCTACCTGGCCAATGGTACACATGTCCTTTTACACTCGAGCTTCACACCGTTTGTTAATTTTATCTATAGAGGTGGCCCAACAATCTAAAGTACGCGGGAAAAATGATTTCCTCATTGCGCTATCTCCGGTCCGTCTTCCTAGCAGTCCGCCACTGCAACTCAAACTAATAGAGTAGCAGATAATTGTCGATGCTACGTCAGCAGCTTACAAAGGATCGTCAAATGAATACCAACAAAGGATTCGCCGAGTCGTGGAGGTCTGGAGACAACGCAACGTATTTGATGGAGCTATTTTGGATGCAGTTGAAGCTCGTGTGGACGGTAGGTTGAATCAATGGGCACGAGGATGGACCAGCCAAGCTGATCATGTCACAGACCTCGACAAAGCTCGCCCTACAAACAAGAAGCAAACCCTCGGAGGCTCCTTCTTCAAGGACACTTCTTCGGGATCCACCCCGTCCGAACTACAGCCTCTCAACCCGTTGCAGATTGCTCTCAACAAGGCTGTCATCAACTCAAATACTTCCGCCACAACCGCTACTTCGGAGTTCGATAAACTTCTTGATCCCAATACCCCGAAGCCTACACTGCCAGTTCACGCTGCACGGCTAAGTTCACTCTTGAAGACGCTCGCCAACGCAGAAAACTCCGTCTCCGAGGTAATCAAATCGCGCCGCGCCTTGATCGATGGACTTGAAAAGATCCTGCAGACCAACCGCGCAGAGCTATCGAGGGAAGAGGCCCTTAGTGCTGGACTCTCGGAGAAGAAAACCTCAGTCGATACCAAGAAGCGCGAGGTCGAGGATGCGATTATGCGCGCTCTACCCAGTGAAGAGTCCCGCACAAACCCCGGCGAACACAGTGGACACGACAACGCATTCAGCCGCCCTGAAGTCGAGGCATTGACGCCTCCCCCGGTGGAAGCTATTACGCCAGTGGGATCCCCACAGCCAGAAAAGCAACAGGTTCGCCGTGGCCCTTTTACTGAAGAGGCGGACGACGACATCTCAGAATGGAACCCTATGAACATCCCTGACATGCAGCAGTCAGGCAACGGGACTGCCATCTCGGATCAATCTACTACTTCTCCGCACCATGGCAATGACTTTGATAATGCCTCCGATGGCCATGCAAAGAGGCGCAAGATCTCGCACGGCGAGGAGGACTATGCGGCTTTTGCGGCCGGCGATCTAGATGCCGATGTGGCTGACCTGCTTGCCACTCAGGGCAAACACTAAGTTAGCTTGGAGCATCATGGTTGAGGCTATCTGATGCCATGGTAATTTATGTGCATCGGCTGCCTTTTGTTTTGTATGACTTGTTCGTTTCCTTTCTATTCTATCAACTGCCTCTTGGACATTCTTATTTCGGTTTATGTTGGATATCACTTCCATCGTGTATGAGTTAACTGAATGTACGAGTTGGAACATGTAACATGGCATTGGTCACAGCATAGGAATCCGATTTCTCCGAATTTTCTCCGTGTAAGTGCATCGCATACTTTTTAGCGTCTTCATATACATCGGATCTATGTGCCCATCTACTCACTTCCGGAACTAAACAACTACAGCAACTACCGATGTGCAAAGGGAATTATTCTGCTTCTGGTCATGTCTGCTCCTCTAGTCACATTAACTATGAACCAATGACATTTGCAAAAAGAAACGTCATCGGAATATATCCGGATCCATCCACCGATCTCGCGCGAAGCGGTTCGATAACCGATGTCTTCGCCCCCGGTAAGCAAACACAGAGCGGATATTGTTCGAAGATTCATCCTCTGGAGGAGGTGGTGGTGGTGGCGGTGGCGGTGGCGCTGAACGGCTCCTCTTTGGTTTCACAACCAGCAAAATGATCATTCCCACCACGACCAGCAGGAGAAGTAGCATGATCTTGCGCTTGGTCGTTCGCTGTTGATAACCCGTAGCCTATATGAGTCAGCGTCTCGTTCTAGCGACATTGAATATGGAAAGAGGGAACATACCACTTTCAGCTCCTTGTCCGCAGCCTTAACCTCGGTGCCCATCCGCTCAACGTTGTAATCTATACGATCCAGCATGGTGCCTTGGTCGATGATCATGCTCTGCAGTTCACGGAAAATATCCGAGAGCTCAATAATCCCTTTTGCAATATCGTTGATTTCGCGCTCCCGCTGCGCAATAGCAGCATCATTCTGACCGGTCTGTCGTTGTGAGGTCTCCTGCAACATCGTCTGCGAAAAGGACCTATCGGCATCTGACTCCATCATCGACGGGTCCGTGTATGGATTTTGGGTAAGAGGCGTAGGCGTGCCATCGAATGGCGTCGCAATACCCTCTAGATCTCGCAATTCTGCACAGAAGCAAACCATCGCATTAGCACATTTGAACCAACCGCTTCCGCCTCGAATAGCCGAGAACAAGAACAAGAACAAGAACACAAAAAGAAACAAGGGTCCCATACTCCGCAAATAAGTACTCTGCTTCTTCCTAAACCTAGCACTAGCCTCCTGCACCCTCGCAGCAAGTGAAATCTGAATGTTCTTCGCCATAGTCTCCTCCCCACTCGTAACACCGCCATGCGCCTTGGACTCGCCGACCATAGTCTCTATGCGCATGATGGAGCGCTGGCAATCATGAAAGGAGCGCGTGACATCCTGCGTCAAGCGCTCGATAACGCCCTCATCCTTTTTGCGCAGCTCCTCATCGCCGAATCCTGGGAGCAGGTGTTTCTGGTGTAGTTTGTCGAGCTGGGCGGATTTCTGGGCGATCTCGGATAACAATTCGGAGACCTCTTCCTGCACGTCGACCCAGCGCGGCGGGAGGAGATCCATCTCGATGACCATGTCGCCATCCTCTTCTGTTTCGGATATTAGGCGCCTGTTTTCTTCAGGGTGTGAGGGCGTGTCGGAGAAGCCATTTGTGGGTGTGAAGTGCGGCTTTTTGGCTGGGTGGTGAATTAGGGATTGGCGGTAGGAGAGGTAGCTGGGTTTGGAGGTGAAGTGTTAGTTGTTTCTCTGCTTTGTAGGCTATTTTTTTTTATAAGTGGTGTATCTTCTTTTGCTTCTTTGGCTATTTCCGGCGCTGGCGGGTTGCGCTTGGGGTAGGGTAGGGCATATGGGGTTGCATACAGGTTGGTACGATCCCGCCACATTGTGAGGGCGTTGGGTGGATTTTTTTACTGATTTGGTGAGGTTATAGGAATCATGATCAGGTGGGAGTGTTAAGAATGGTGGTTTAGAGTCTCGCCGGAAATGAACGATAGGAGCTCTCCACATATCGGAAGGGGTCACGTATGCCCGGTATTCATCATGTAATCCATGGTTTTGTCCACGTGGAGTGGGGTAATTTTGGTATGGCTGGGTAAGTGAAGATCGTTCGACCTACACATGTCTCTCCTAAGAAGATTCTGCTCTCGTGTCAATGTTCCAGTTGCAGCAGGTTGCGCATGGGTTGCATACTCAATTGACAGTGCCTCGAGACTCTGGATTTTCACGCACAACGTGGCCTGCCTAGGTTTCTGGTGTTCCCAAGATGCGAGTTCGAAGGCCACTAGACCGAAGAACTGCTATACTTTATGAATACAAACTATTACAATATGTCTTCTAATCTGTTTTGTTCTACTCTGTAGATCTATAAATCCAGGGCCCCGCAGTCGGTAAAGGACTCAAGATCAAAGAAATCAAAAGCCAAGACCTGATTGTAATTAGACGCCATGTCGCTTCGGCATATTGACACCGTTAGCTCAGCATATGTGCTCCGGGATCAAGCTTTTGTCCGGCGTTATATCCACGGATATCTTACAAGGTGTTAAGAGATATAATCCATACCTTTGAACATCAAAATACAAAATCTTGATATCTGAAGATTAAAAAAGGCCAAACACCCCTCCCTCCAAAAAAAAGAAAAAACAAAAAAAACAAAAAACAAAACTACACATGTCAACGGTGGCCACATTCAGCTCCAGGAGGGGGGCCCACCGCCCTCAGGTGAAACGATGCTGACTGGGTATCCTCAGGCACGCTATTTTGGTAACTCTCGTAAGGCTGTTCCCCTTAACCCTCTTCTTTATTTGATCCTCTTCATTTTGACCCCTCCTCACTTTGTATTTTCCCATCCACATTCATCATGGTGTGTCCCTGACCCCTAACTTATCAGTTGTGTTGGCGAAAACAAACCCCCACAATGCGGGGTTTCGCTGTTCTTTTGAACCTCACTGACCATCGCACCCTCTAGGCTGATTCCCTCACCGAAGAGCAAGTGTCCGAGTACAAGGAGGCCTTCTCCCTCTTTGTAAGTGACTGACTCCACATGCAGATCGAAGATATGGTTATATGCTGACCGGAGTTTATTTTGTTGCGAAATAGGACAAGGATGGCGATGGTACGTGGTGCTTGCGCCCGACAGCTCAGTCGAGCCCACATCAATCTCTTCTGCGATTGAATTTCAAGAGAAATGATTTCTGACATACAATTCTACCAATAGGACAAATCACTACCAAGGAGCTTGGCACCGTCATGCGCTCGCTGGGCCAGAACCCCTCCGAGTCTGAGTTGCAGGATATGATCAACGAGGTTGACGCTGACAACAACGGCACCATTGACTTCCCCGGTACTTGATCATAACCCACTGATATATTCGAAAGACGCCTACTGATGTGCGGTAGAATTCCTTACCATGATGGCTCGCAAGATGAAGGACACCGATTCCGAGGAGGAAATTCGCGAGGCATTCAAGGTCTTCGATCGCGATAACAACGGCTTCATTTCTGCCGCCGAGTTGCGCCACGTCATGACTTCCATCGGCGAGAAGCTGACCGACGACGAGGTGGACGAGATGATCCGCGAGGCGGACCAGGATGGTGATGGCCGGATCGACTGTATGTTTTGGAAACCATCTTGCAGCCTATCCGCATTTGTCTGCTCAGATGCTAACCTCTCTATTTCCATACAGACAACGAGTTCGTTCAGCTCATGATGCAAAAATAAACAACGCATTTCCACCATGCGCCTTATTCCATGTTAGCTGACGTCGCGGGTGTTATCGAGAATGTTTCTCTTCCATTTCAATTTTCCAATACCGATTTCATGTAGTCTATGCTTACTAGGCTATACATCTTGGATGATTTACGATCAAGCGTGTGCTTTGAAAAGCAGACGAAATGAACTGGGCGGTACTTTGGGTCAAGTGTTCATAATATAGGAATGATGACTCTCTCCCTATAACCCTGATTGTGCTGGGCTTGTTTCAACATCGCGACCTTGTTCCAACCAGCCAACGTCTACAAAATTCCGTAGTAAGCGTAAAAGAGATAAACCCTCCCCCTCCCCCTTGTGAGCGTACAGCTATCTGTTAAACCGTAAAACCTCCATAAACTGCCTCGCAACATCTGCTCCAGACCACGGATCAGGATCATTCTCGGCACGCTCACCAACCACGGAGCCAGCCCCATCAACACCAGTATCAACCCTCGCATCAATCCCAGACCTAGCCTTCTTCCACCTCCTCAGCCGATCCTTAACCTCCATCCCAATATTTGGAATAAGAATGGCCTCTCGAGCCTCGACACCCAATCTCCCCCAAAATTCCCGAATCAGCGACGCAGTCGCCGCATACTCAGTATCGATATCAGACTCCTCAATCGCAGAGCTAGAGAGGTCGATACCCACAGCGTCACTATCCACATCACCACCCCCCCCAGCACCAACACCAACACCAGCACTAAACGATCCATCCTCCCGATCTACCGGAATGGCCTCCACAACCGATGGTCCACGCCACTCAATCTCAACAACCGTACCACGCACTCGCGCCATCGGGAACGTCTGTCGCACGTCACCAAGACGCACGCGGAAGTCACCAACCTCATAGACGATCCCGTTGGGGACAGCTAATGTGAGCCGGTGGCTCCAGGACGGTTGGCAAGCGTAAGTAAAATGCTGAAAGAGGGTCCCATATGAGGAAGGGGGGATAGTAGTCATGACCATTGGCGGGGAGGGGGACTGGTCTGGCGCGATGGCATTGGCGGGGCCGGACGCGCCTTGGTTCTGGGTTTGGTTTTGGATTTTGTTTGATGCTGGGGTGGGTTTCTCGGGCCCCGAGGTGATTATGAAGCCATGGGTTGGGTAGTGGGTCAAAGAGAGGAATTGCATATAGCGTGGATTTGGGGGTTTTTGGTTTGAGTTGGAGGAAGAAGGGAGTAAGCCTGGGGTGTCGCGGAGGAGCTTTTGTTCCAGGCCCCAGCGGCCGATTGGGGTTAGTTCTTCATTTGGGAAAGCGGCGCGGAGGCGCTCTAATATTGTTTGGAGGGCTGTTGAGGCGTTTGGATTTGAGGGAATGAAGTAGACGCTTTGTGAGGTTAGTTTGGAAATTGGTTGTGAAGTGGAAGAGAGGATTTTACCCTGTGATAGGCATTTTGGGGGGTTGGTTTCTTCTTGTATTCTGGACAGGTGCAGAGGAAGAGATGGGACTGATAGTCAAAGCAGTGCTAAGCTGAGCGATCTCAATTCGGAAATTGACAAGTTGATGATAAGTTCCTATGCAGTCTTCAATCCTGCTAGAGTATTAATTTAGAGGATTTTCAGCAGGTAATGACCATGCAATATAGATAAAGAGATTGATCAATAACAATGATGATCAAGTCCAGTGCCAGAAGGAACAACAAAAGATGATTCCTCGAGATCGAAGCTTTGCAATCTATATAGTCTGGTTAGTATAAGCACTGGGAATGAGAAGAATCCTGTACCTTTGAACACTTTCTATGTATACGAGGTGGCTCTGGAGAATCAAGTGGTCAGTCTCCAGATGGAAAGCCTAGGCATGATATAACGTCGTTGTGCAAACAGAGCAAACATCTAGTGTCAACACTCCAACCTCCGGGGTATGGAAACCAAATCCCTTTCTTTGAACATAGACATTCTTAGCTTGTCTAATTGCATTATTGCAAGTCACTGGGTGACTATAAAAGTTGGGGTTTTTTCCTCAGTCTTCAGCTCTCGCAAGTAACAATAGTAAACTCTTCCACTACGCTCATTTCAAGCGTTAACCGCAGACCCACCTCCATCTGACACTGCTACATGTGCACTCACACAGAGAAGTAAAGCCTGTCATCAAAGGGGCTGTTGAGGAAATTCTTTGTATACGGAATCCTAGAGCACTCCCCATTCCATCAGCCATGAAATGGTCGAGGTTACCCGCATTGTTACTTTCAATCAGATTGTAGAAATCATCGCTAATTCAGGTCATGTAACAGCGACAGAAACTTAGCTTGATCGCAGCTGCCATGTCCTCTATCGAAACCTCCTTTACTTTCGATTTAGTTTCACTTTGACTGGGATTTATGGGTTCGAAAGAATGATCTTCGCACTGTCGGTGTTCTTCGAGATGTGAGAATGAAAAAAAACTACTGTAAAACTTGAGACAGTTACTAACAACTCGATCTATTTTTTTTAGCAGAATTCTCCATCGTCCTAGACTGGCTCTGAATTGGTCCATCAGGAGACTTAGATTCCTGGGGAAGACATCATGAAACATTTGGCGCCCTTCAACTTCAACTATTTTAAGCTTTACTCAGTCACCACCTTCTGTCTCCGATTTTCAACAGGTAAAGGTTGTTTTTGGTGTTTTTTAACTAACAAAAAATTCTACGCGATTAAAATAGCGCAAATATCAGGTACTTGATTGCTTCTCAGTGCCACATCGGCAAGCTGTACGCCGCGAATAAATGTTTAGGGGGCATTGTCTATCCTTTTCTTTCCATTCTCTGTTTCCTCTCTCCCCCGTCAGCTCCAGTCTATATTATAGCTACAGTAGACGCCATGTAGTCATTCTCTCCTTAAGGGTCTGCGATTGAGTAGCATCCCCCAGAAACCTTCACCGCTTAATCACTCGCCTATAAATTGAGTGGTAGTTTATATTCCAAACTTGACCCATGGACTCACTCCCTCTATCTCGATACTCCCTTCATATCCAGCTTTTTGTGTAGAGCAGCTCTCGTGTTCGCTGTCTCTATTCACACTGTTCTGCTCCACTGACCTTGTCGACAGAGATTGTTCTACCCCCTACGACCTCTCTTAGTGTCGAACAAAACGACGACCCAACCTTAGACCAACACATTTTCGTATCTCCCGGATATCCCGCCCTGGACTGGTATTGTGTGAGGATACGTTCTAGGTTCAATCAATCAATCAAAGTTCAATTAACCTATTGCAGTCTCACTAGTTGCGTTTGACTATGCAGGCGCTTCTTCCATCCGAAGCAAGAACTCGAAGCTAAACGCCAAGGTGAGATTGCTCCCAAGAGTGTGCAGATGCTAAATTTGAAGAGTGTTGGAATCAGCCAATTGCTGTAGCCCGTAAAACCCCTAAACACATGCCTATACCTACACATACGAATTATACAATAGTTGTCATAGAGTGCACCCACCCTCTGACCCCCACTTCACCCACTCTCTCTCTTTTCCCCCCCTCCCTGCCTCAGTTTCAATTGGTGGTATGGTTTCTGGTTTCTCTGGCCAGTTGTTGATTGGCATGGTTGTTGACTCTGGTTGAGTTCTCGTCTCACAGCATCGTTTTCGTCATTGGCTAATACCCATCATCTTCCACGCCTAGATCCATTGCCGCATCCCGTTCTGGGTTGCAGTCACTTGTGAGAGCACTGTTGTGTTGCGCAGCATGCTAAAAAAATTTAGTGACTCATCGTGCACACCAGGACCAGCAAAATCGGCGTTCTCATTGCAAGAAAAAAACTTTTCCAGAACCCTTATTGCTTGTTAAAGATTTTTTTAAAGAAAGCCTACTTTTAGACGAGAATCAAGACTGTCAATTTCCTTTTGGTTAGTCGGCCCAATTTAGGAATATTCATGATAAAGAATTCCATGATGCTACCGCGTTGATGTCAGCTGCACGGTCTTTCAAATGCCTAGCGTCAATACATCCTGACAAGGAGGACACCGAAGAATGGAATCGCGACCGCATCGCTCGAGGCGAGAAGCAGATTTCCATTTTTCTGGACTGAAGTGCTTCTGAGTAGAATGCTTCTTTATCGTCTCAGGTCTCACATCTCGTGGGCAGTGATGTCCAGCCCGCACAGCCTCTACACCCTGCTCTTGGATTGGCTATGTTGCACGCTATCTCTTCTTTGGTCGAATGACGGCTTGATGAAGGTGCTGAGCTGGTAACCAAGTTCCCGTTATAGGATGAGACTACTCGTGTTTTACGTATAGCGGCTGGGGGCGAGGGTACTTTGATGGATCAACCCAATGTTAAAGGTAGGCCACCGCAGCAAATCACATTAGATTAAATGCACGAATCTAAATGTACAGACAAGGGGGTTAGAACTTTGTCTGGTCGTCAAGGCCGAGGTCGAGGTCGTGGGTGTGGGGAATGATGCGTTAGACTTGTTGGCTCTTGGCGGCCCATCAGGCAGGTAACCGGGTTAATAAGTATTCATAGATGAAGATCACAGTGAACTAGTTCTAGATTCCAATCCGGTGTAGATCCAGAGGTAAAGTGAGTGAAATTACTAATATCATCAGATGCTTAGCTAGGGATAAAACCTCCCGGGCTACCTATGTTGTAGGAGGGCATCCCATCTGTTGGTAGGATTACATAATCACTGGAGACCGGGGAAGGTGGTGCAAACAGGATCATGTGACTGCGCAGCAGCACCGCTTATCACGTGAGCGCCACCTGCCCATTTTTGGAGGAAATAAGGCACAGACCTACGGGGCAGGTAGGGCTAAACATAGGTAGTCATGGCACATATGGAAATTAAAGGACAAGCTTTCAAATGCACACTTACAATCCTCCAGTCTAAAAATCGACAAGATCAACCTTTACTCCATCAGAGTCAGGGGCCGCTGTGGGGTAGTGGCGCCCTCAGACCGAGCACAGCCTCGAGATACAGAAGAGCCTCGCAAGCCTCGACGTGACTATTGATATTCTAATAATAACATTGTAGCAAGGACCCAGCAGTCTTCCCTTGTGTGGTGTGGCCAGGTGTGAAGGGGGTGACATTCTCAAATTGTACCAATCATCATCTACGATATCATGCCTCGCACTAAATTCCAGAAGCCACCAAGGACGATCAATGGAGTTCCAAAGAACTCGGCCGTGTCTAATTCCCTTTTGCAGAGACCTCTCACAATTCATGACGTGCCATGTTGTGTAAAAATGTATCCATTTCCTCCTTTATTCAAACTGCCAGGGATCTTAGTTCTCGCTGAGACAACAATGTCGGCCTTCCTTGCTGGTCCTTAGGCTTGTACATCTTTCCACTCCTTCTCTGCGTCTCATACTACCGTTCTTTTGTGATTGATTCTGTTACTCTGGGACAACCTGACGCCATTCATGATGTATAACAGACACAAAACCCGACCTATATCAACTGCATTCTTTCTCATTGTCGCAACATACTTTTTCTTCTTCTGGCTCCCTAGGATTCAAACTTACCAAGGTCGCCCAACAAAGCCAATCTCCAGAAAGGACCACACCGTTCGGCATGATGCCATTCGTCTAGATAAAGTCACCGAGCGATTCCCCGTTGCAGAGTACATCCCACTGCCCAAGAGTTCAGCGAAAATCCCCCGCATCCAGCATGACTTTCCCGAAGAAACCCGCAGCGAACGTAAGGCCAGACTCAAGAAGCGGGATGCTGTGAAGGAAGCGTTTCTTCATTCATGGAATGGATATAAGGATCATGCATGGATGCGCGATGAAGTGAAACCCCGCACTGGAGGGTACCAGGATACCTTCAATGGCTGGGGTGCCACACTTGTTGATTCGCTAGATGCGCTAGTGATTATGGGACTAGACGATGAGCTGCAGCTGGCTCTGGAGGCTCTGGAAGAAATCGATTTTAAAACAACCAAGAGCAAGCATGTGCCTGTCTTTGAGATCATCATTCGCTACATGGGTGGTTTTATTGCTGCTCATGACTTGACCGAGGGCAAGCATCCTATCCTGCTGAGAAAAGCGGTTGAACTGGGAGAGATGATTTTCAATGCGTTTGATACGCATAACCGCATGCCCCAAGTGCGTTGGGAGTGGACTAGGTATGCCAAAATAGATAATATGCAACAAGAATGCGAGACTGACAATCCACAGATCCGCCCAAGGCAAAGAAATCACACCATCATCCCGCACAAGCCTAGCGGAAATGGGATCCTTGACAATGGAGTTCACTCGCCTGACTCAATTGACCGGTGATCCCAAGTACTACGACGCCGTGCAGCGTATCATGAACGAGCTCGAGATAGGACAAGACAAAACCCGGATGCCTGGCATGTGGCCGACCTGGATTGATACCGACCGAATGACCTTTGACGACTCCGAATTCACCGTTGGCGGATGTGCTGATTCCACATACGAGTACTTGCCCAAAGAGCACATTCTCCTGGGCGCACAGACGGACAAATATCGCCGGATGTACGAAAAGGCCATTATCACATTCAACGAGAATCTACTATTCAGAGGAATGACCCAGGACGAGGATCAACACATTCTCTTCACGGCTAATGTTGTCGCAATGCGGGGTGACACGAAGACCTTCCAGTACACGCCTGACCACCTCAAGTGCTTCATGGGTGGCACCGTGGCTATTGGGGCTAAGGTTTTTAATCGGCCGGAGGATATGTATGTTGCCCGGGGACTTACCGACGGCTGTGTCTGGGCATACGATGTTATGCCTACGGGGATCATGCCAGAGGTGTTCAACGTCACTCCTTGCGAGCACATTGATGAGTGTCCGTGGGATGAAGAGCAGTGGATGTCAGATGTTATATCACACTCTATTGATACTGAGGAGGACCGCGAGAAAGCAGAAAACCACATAGAGGCTGAACATCTACCACCAGGCATAACTAGTGTTCAAGATGCTTCGTATAAGCTCAGGTACGGCTTTATCTCATTTCTCCAGGTACGATTCACTAACATACTCCACGTCTAGACCCGAAGCTCTTGAGTCCCTGTTTGTCATGTATCGGATCACTGGAGATAAAACTCTCCAGGACTCTGCATGGCGCATGTTTAAGAACATTGATAAGGCAACTCGAACTAAATTTGGCCATTCGTCGATCAACGATGTGCGTCACGTAAAACCGAAACATGAGGACAAAATGGAAAGCTTTTGGCTTGCCGAGACCTTGAAGTACCTCTATCTCATCTTTTCTGAGCCAGATCACATAAGTCTGGACGATTATGTGCTGTATGTTTGTGTCCAGCTGTGTTGACACCGTCTTCATGGGCTAATGATTCTCTTTTTAGGAGCACCGAAGCCCATCCGTTCAAGCGGCCAAACTGAAGCGTCCCAATATTGAGATTTCGTGCACAGGTTCAATTATCAGCAAATTCTTGATTTATATCAACAAGACCGGCGTTACAGGCAGCAAGGCTTTCATTTTGTGATGCAACATCTACCTGCTCAGTCACTCGAGCAAAGATTACCCCAATCCCCGGTTTATCTATTCATAATATTCGACATCTACACATCATCTGCACATCTTGCCACAACCCATAATACCAAAATGAAATTATACATATGCAGAAACATCGACAGATCTAATCTTCAAATCCTCCTGCCTGCTCAGCTCCTCATTCTCATATTGAATCGAGTACCGAATCTCTTTATGAATAACCATCTTGTCCGCCCCCTCCCCATTCCCTCCATGAGTTGTCTCGCTCGTATAGGGCCTCGGCACAAGCTCAATAAAATCCGACGCCACCGTAAACGGCCCCTCAGACGCACCCCTCATACAATCCTTCCCCTTTTCCGGCACCCGAAAACTTAGCTTCTTATGCGGCGCGCCGAGCGGGAATATGGACCGGCGGATTGGCGCGCGCACCGCATCCGATCCACCGCTCCCCTCATTTCTTTGGTTATTTCCAAGCGCTCCGTGCGCACGGGAACTGGTATCAAGACACGACGGAGTAATCCGACTTCGGTCAAAATTGTCCGACCGTTGCGATCCAAAACCAGAACCACGAGCGGCCGGAGGAACCGTGGGCGGCCTTGACTCCGTGCCGGCTCTATTCCTCCGTGTGCGAGAATGCGACATGAATCTCGACGCGATATTCGAATTCGAGCCCAATCCGGTCTTCGAGATTTCTTTCGTGTCATTTGATTTTGATGCGCTAATTTCCAGCGTCGAGTCGCCTGCCGTACCGTAGTTCGTGTGTGAGAAAACAGGAAGGTGATCCGAGAATTATCGCTGTGGATAGTAGTCAGCCAATGAAACCGCTTCTTAGTCGCCAAGCCTGAACCAACCATTTATAGATTTGTGATGGATGCTGCGTTTCGTACTTGATTTGAATCAAACAAAATAAACGACCACAGAGACCCAGGCAGGTGATTGTGGCGCTCACCAAGACATACAGAAACACCCTATAACAGTGGCATTGAATTTAGACTTTGTGGTGTATGAGTGCGTAGAAAGGCCACGTCCTACAGGGGTTGTGAAGTGACGAATCACGAAGGCTCATAGACGACCATCGTAAATGCCCATTTCGTTGTGATATGCAATATCGAGCCAGACCGTCATGATGACATTGCAGCCTACGACATCGAGGCCTCCATGATAGTCCGTGCGATCCCACTTGGAAAGTTTGCTTTGGCCTCCTTCAAAAAGCAAATCTATCTGATCGGCTTCATGCAGGAAATAACAACCCCGCGGCAACAGGCCCTGAATTTGGGAACCATAGCAAATGGTTACGGTAGGGATAGTATGCAGGACATTGGTACGGTTCATATGAAATATAACCTTGCATATTGATAGCAGCCTCGACGACGCAGATATTTCAATAAGCGTTAAGCAGTTTATCTTTTAGCGTGATATCCATGGGATTTTCTACCACACTTTCTGGGTGGCCTTTCACCCAATCTCATTTCTCGATCCGCCATCGAAATACCTCTGCCGATTTCTCCTGGGGAGATCGCCCATGTCGAGACGATACACAAAAAGAAGAGACAGGGCCGGCAGTGGATGCTTTCAAACTGCCTGCATATCCCCCCTCACTAGTGTGCAGGGTACCTTTCATCATCGAGACCCAACCGGTGCCAGCCGGCCCGTGCTATCATTCAACTCGCGGTTCTATAGAGCTGGTTTCATACAACTGTACACCACCTGTTCCTGAAGAACCGCCAGCCGAGAATACCTGGACTAAATGGCTTCACATTCTCTGCAAAAGTAAGTCTCTAACTTTGGCCACTACAAATTTTCTCTGCTAAGCGGACAGGCTGATATATTCAAACACACGTCCTGCAAACGCGCCTCGTTATGGAATTTTGATGGAGTAAAAAGGAGAGGTGAAGATTTATCCAGATTTTCGAAAGTGCCTACTTTTTGTTACCAGAATGGATAATGGGACCATTGAAACTGTACATATTGAGCCGCGTGAAGTCTTGGAAGGGGCCAAATCATCAGACTTAAGAAATCGGGATCGAACCCGCCAGGCCAGGCACATGTTGCCGCCTGAGGAGTGGTTTGCCTTCGAATTTCGATATACGAGGAAGCGACAGAAGCTGTACGCTAGAGACAATTTAAATTTCGAAGCCAAACAATTGGATCATCGAGGTTCTCTCTAGTTCCAGAGCCAATCATCACTGCACCTAGGTCCTGATTCTGGCAGTCTGCTTGATTCGCCACGTTGCTTCTCCACCGCTCGTTCTCAGTGCTGTAAGATGCCATGTTCTAATCAAGACCAAGGAAGCAATGGAGAAGATCAACAGTGGCGGGAAATAGGAAATGCAGAGGGCTTTACCTTTCTGTCGTGCAGCTGATCTAAAATGAAATGCCAAAGGAATTTCTTGGACATTCGGTATGCGAGGGTGCAAGAGAAACTGCGATCTAGGACTTTTTTGCTATCCCTAGTTCTTAGTACTCGGCAAATCAACCAACAATTTCCATCCTTGAGCATGCGTTGGCTACACTGTGCTTTATTTATAAAAGAGGTTGCGTCATAATTTGAGACTCAGTTCCATTCCACTGTTTACATTCACTCGGACTCAAGATGTCTGAGGCGGAAAGCCAGCTCGCAATTTTGCTGCAAGCTCTGGTGAGATCGGACTTGAATTCTATCTGTCCTCGATGTTACCAGCTCTTTTCAGACATCATTGCATGTTATCGTCATTGTCGAGAGACAGGAGAAGGCAACAAGGCCGGAGAAGGTGACAGAGCAGATGATATCCACAAGGGGCTTGGTTTGATCACAAAAAAAGACTTCCCGGAATTCCTTCGATGCTATCGGGTGGCTATTGGGTTCTCAATTGCTGAATGTGACCTTCCATTGGGAGGCGGCCCCGGACGGCGCTCATATGACAAATGCTTTGCAATTGACTTCGTGCTTGACAATTGTGGTAAGTTTTACTCGCAAATGTAAGCTCGAAGCCTTCAAACTGATATGGACATAGTTCCCAGCAGAGAAACAATGGAAGCAATGTTGTTGGCCGTGATGAAAATCTAGGTCCAATCTCATCAAGTGAGGTCATGGCGGTAAGTCGCAAAAGAGCCCTCTCGACTGATGAAGATTTAAGTGCCATCTTCAACAGGCAACGGTTCGAGCAAATGGCTTCCTCGCCCGTTTGTTGATGGATCAAACACAAGTGAGGTACAAATTAAAGCAAAATTAGAGTTGAGGGTGGCATGAAAGGCTCAGTAAGAGAATTGGAAGTTACAGGGTAGCACAGAGTACAAAATTACATCCTATAAAATTCTCGAGATATCACAACAAGGAATGTTCCATGTGCCGAAGTCATCTAAATGTACAAAACCGCATTGCCTTTGATCACGTGATACTGCAAGAGCCCTAATAATCCGCTCAATTTTTCTTTGAACTCCGCCAACGAGAGCGATCCGTACATTTTGGTGTAGCTGAGATAAATCGATGCAAAAATTGAGTCAATTCCATTGCAAGGCTTGGCGAAGAATTGAACAAGGCCCCGAGAGAGAGGAATCATTCTTGAGTCAAAATGCCAGGCGAGAAGTGAAAGCATAGACAAAGCACAAGCAGGCATATTTGTCTACGTGCTTGAAAAATTACATTGCTTTGGCCAGAGAATGGCCGAGAATACCCAGTCTATTGCATCGGGATATGACATCTCTCGATCTTGGGAGCTTACTTGCGACCGAGGTGACCATCATTGCCATTCCAATGAGGTTTTACGCAAAGACCGGGACGTGTTTGATTGAGCAATGAACGCCCGTACTCGATGCGAAATGTGGTAATACACCGATAGTCGAAATCAAAACCGCCTCAAGTACTTCATTACTATACTGTAACTCGATATCATTTTCGCGCTTCGTCATGGCTGCTTTGGCGCGTAAGGGATACACGGCATCGGTATCTCTCTCTGCAAGGTAATCACAAGTCTGAAATGGGCCAGCACAGCCACCGTTTTAATACAGGCCAGCCACAGTGGACTTTATTTTTTGATACATAAAACAAGGTCAGTTCCGTAACATAACTGCATTATACAACGGTATTTGCCTAGGCCCTTGTCTTATTTGGTATGAACTATTCTGATATGTGCTGAATGACCATTCTCTAAAAAATAATGGTTCAAGCCTACGCAGGCCTAGACACGTTATTTTTTCTTTTGCCATTGAGCTGTAATGATTATTGGCCACAAAATAAAAAAGGCAACCTGATGTGATACAATTTCATTGGCGCGGTTTCATCTGGAGGGTATGTATCCAACAATAATCTCCAAGGTTTTTCATGCGGACTAACGGGGACAAAGTTGATTCTCGAAGCCTGGATTTGCTGTTTCCTCAAATACTTGAGAGCAATGATGATATTTGCTAACAGTCTGCCGATCAGACAGAATGGCACAAGTGCTCTTATTTACATTTTTGATTCCACCCCACGGCTCGTGTAAATCTTATTATTCTCTTTTCAGCCAACTTGGACCCGAGTCATTCGCAAGAGCACGTCAATCCGCGCGGAACAGTCAGTATACATACGACCAAGTGATTATCCATCAATTCATGAATGTCCAGACAAATGATAAGCGATAAACTCATGATAGGCTCGGTATGAGGCAAAGCGCTAGTCATTCAAGGCCAACATCAGTATGGAGGAGAATTTTTGGGATATTGTTGGGACATCTGCCCTTGCTTCGACCGTTCATCACTTCTCCACTTACGTCCTTTTCTATTCTTAACCGTTTGTTCTTAACCGTTTGTTCTTAACCGTTTGTTCTTCACCGTTTGTTCTTCACCGTTTGTTCTTCACCGTTTGTTCTTCACCGTTTGTTCTTCACCGTTTGTTTTCAAATTTTTATTCACCAACAATTTCTGGCTGGGTATTGACTATTTGCAGTCAACCGTTCGATTTTGAGTTTTAGTTGTAAAGGTGTTATAGAGAACATCCTTGTCGAAAAATTTGCTTGACCGCGACCTGGCCGATTCAGTGGTAATCGCAGCCCCACAAAGCAATTCGCGATATTAAAGTTCGTTATAAGTAGCTGAATATCTTGTACCTAGTTCGTAAAAATACGTGCAGGCTTCCATCGGGGATTGTTGGTAGTGCAACGTTAGTGGGTAATCTGTTTTCAAATTTTACTGTATAGAGCAGATGGCGCAGAGGTTTGTGGACACCGGAGTCAAATTGGTCTATCGGTTACCCTACTTGGGTGACTAAAATCTGATGAAAAGATTCTTTGCTGAGCTCAAAGCTTCTAAAAAACGTAGTTGAATTTTTCATGGAGTAGGTCCAGACCAAGGCTTTAAAGACTTTCTAAGCTAGTGTAGTGATGTTGGCAGTGCAAAAGAACAAAGTGCGAGAGGCCATTTTCGGTACGCAGGTTCGAACGAAGCAATATCAAGAAGATCTTCGTCATGTATAATTGGATGAGCACAAGTATCCATGCGGCTCCACGGCGCGTAGTGACTATTTCTTTCATGGAGTTATCCATCAAACCAATCGTTATCAAGGATTCGATTCGCTGATGCCCTTGCTGGCTGGAAGGTTTGTTGCATACTTTGCCAAACCTGTTCTTAATTTCTATCGTCTGCAACCAAGCGTTGAAGATTTGACACCTGTGGAGCTTGGCGGTATAGGACATTCACACCCAGCCTTTTCATACCACTCAGGAGGGTAATCTGG